TATTTTATATGCCAACATCTATGAAAGAAAGAGCCAGGCCACGGAGCGCGATGCGTCATTTACGCACAGATGGTTCCGATTTTAATGCCATTTTTGGAGTTTATGTTGTGATCTGTGCGCTCAACCCACCTTTGTCACGTGAGGTTTGAATATATGCAACTTTATGTGAGTGTCTTTATTTGTGGAAAAGGGTGTTTGTCTTACCAGTGGGTCCAACATTACACACACCAAATCCATCTGTGCTCAGATGAGAGAGTGTGGAGGACACTTGTTGAGGAGCTGCCCTCTGTCGCCATCGTGTGGCATAACTGTCTTCAGACATCTCTTGATCTCTTTGACTACTTCATGAAAATAGTAATACGCCTCGCCGGTGGCGGATTTAAAGGCAAGGAGAGGAGCTTATGTGATTGGTGAAAACAGGTCTCGGCTGTGTTAAATCTACTACACGCCCTCTCTCCTCCCCGTCTACGACTTATGCTGCTGGGAGGAGCTGAGTTAGGGAGGGGGGATACTTACGCCGGGCTGCGCGGCTCACCAAAATACCAAAATGTGCTTGGGAACACCTTGTCAGCGCGGCGGATCTGATTGACGCTGCGCTTGCGGCAGATCTCCGGCGAGGCACCAAAATAGAGCCCCGTGTGTGACTTTATGTTACGAAGACAAAGACTCACGCCTTACCCAGAGAGAGCAATCCACCATGGTCTGGTAATTATATGGGCCTCATTGTCTTATTTGATTATTACAGAGTTTTTATGTTTTCATAGATAAAAGTGAAGCTACTCTGAAATACATTGATATCGCATAAATACTTCATCATGGATGGACATGAATGGATGGATTACTTTTAATTACAAGACCAAGATTGTTTTCTGGGGAGGCTTACTCTTTGTAGATCATGGGATGGGTAATCGGGGGCGGCACAGTGGTGTAGTGGTTAGCACTGTCACCTCACAGCAAGAAAGTCCTGGGTTAGAATCCAGGTCAGGGCGCTTCTGTGTGGAGTTTGCATGTTCTCCCTGTGTCTGGGTGGGTTTACTCCGGGTACTCCAGTTTCCTTCCTCATTCCAAGAACATGCAGAAGTGGAGTTAGGTTAACTGGCCAATTTCAAGTTGCCCATAGGTGTGAATGTGAGTGTGGATGGTTGTTCATCTCTATATGTCAGCCCTGCGATGAACTGGCGACTTGTCCAGGGTGTCCCCTGCCTTCGCCCGAAGATGCTGGGATAGGCTCCAGCCCCAATGGGAAAAAGCGGTAAAAAATGGACGGATGGATGGAGACAAGTAATCAATATTTGGAGCTGATGTGTAAAGACCGTAAAAATGAGAAACTATGGCACAAGACCTTGTCAAAACACAGACTTTGAGCATTATATACAGTAGGCAACAGTTATCCAGTCAAACTAACAGTTTTGTGTGTAACAAAGTCATATGGCGCCTAAACCAATAAGGTGGTGTTGTGGGCGACATATCAGAATTGTATCTATTTGTTTTTATTTTAATATACTGTTGCCCATTTTTATAATTTCTGATATTTTACCAGTGAGAAAGGATCAGGGTTACTGGGTTCCCTGATTTTGCTGCATCACTCTGGTAATGGTGGTTATCTCATTAGAAACCACTTTGCTCCATAAGGCCTCCATGGGAAATGCAAAGCACTTTTTACTTGAGATGGATAGAAAAAAACCAGTGGAAATAATCAAATCAAACAGAGAATAATCAAATTTATCTGATCTATTTTCAGACTTCTGGTATTGTGAATCTTGTATCTTCCTGTCACGCTGTCATGGCTCACTCTGGCACTCGGATAAAACAGAGCAGACGATAGTGATGTCAGTAACACCTGTGTCTTTTCCACTGGGACACAGTTTTCTCTGTGTCAAAGGCTGATTAGGGGAAGAAAAGGGATTTAAGTGAGTTTGAACATGGCTGGTTGTTGGTTTCAGATGACCTGGTCTGAGTATTTCAGGAACTCCTGATCTACTGAGATTTTCACTCACAACCATCTCAAGGATTAACAGAGGGTGGTCTGAAACTGAGAAAATATCCAATGTGCAGCAGTTGTGTGGATAAAAAATGCCTTGTTGACATTAAAGGTTGTGGGTGGGAGGTGGACTGACTGGGATAATAGAAAAGCTTAAGCAAGTCAAATAACTCCTTGTTGCAACCAAAGTATGCAGAATACCATCTCTGACAGCACAACACGTCCAACCTTAGGGCAGATGGGCTACAGCAGCAGAAAACCACATCAGGGGCCACTCCTTTCAGCTAAGACCAGGAAACTGGGGCCACAGTTCACACAGACTCACAAAAACTGGACAACAGAAGATTAGAAAAACACTGCCTAGTCTGATGAGTCTGGATTTTAGTGGCCACATTAAGATGGTGAACCAACGATTCAGGCTGGTGGTCTAATGGTGTGGGGGATATTTTCTTGGCCAACTTTGGAACCCTTAGATACCAATTCAGCATTCTAAACTCTACAGCCTACCTGGGTATTGCGTCTGAAAGTGTCCATCCCTTTAGGACCACAGTGTACCCATCTTCTGATGGATATTTTCAGCAGGATAGTGCACTGTCACAAAGCTCAACTCATCTCAAACTAGTTTCTTAAACATGAAATGAGTTCACTGTACAAAAATCTCTGAGGAATGTTTCCAACACTGTGTTTAAAGTGTGCCATGAAGAATCAAGGCAGTTCTGAAGGCAAAAGTGGTCCAACCCAGTACTACTGAGGTGGACCTAGTGAAGTGTATGTATTCAGTCTGTTTTTTTTATTTTACTGTGTGTATCAGGCCACTAGATGACACCAGAGCACCGAATAGATATGTGGCTCAGATGAAGGCTTACAGTGTGGATTAACTGATAGACTTTATCATAAATTGATCAAGTATTTGTTGTCATGGTAAAAGTTATTTTAGATTGTCACTTTGAAATGAAAACCTGTATGTGCTGTTTTGATACAATACATTCAAACCTATAAGCTCTTGTTACTTATAAGACTTTAATTTTTTAAACTTATCTTTCACTCAGGCTATAAATGTTGTTGGTCTGAAACTCTCTCATCAGACGTTGTGTGGTAGACCAACCTGCTGTCTACTCTTAAATAACAGAGGAATAATGTCTTTTACATCCACCTCTGTAGTTTATAGCTCCAGAAATTACTAAAACAAGAGAAGAGACATTGATGTGTTTGACCGTTAGCAGGCTACATAATGGAGAAAAAAAAAATATCATTTTATCTTGCAAAATATTACAATGAAACGAACTTAAAGTCACACCACATCAAGGCAACGCCATTGCAAGCGTGCTGGGTATCATAAACAGATATTTTCTCAAAGATGTCCTAAGAATTTAAAGTATTTTTAAGAAGAAAAACTATTCTATTTTGACAAGTTTTAGCTTGCCACAAGTCCACCCATTGGCATCAATGCTCAGGTGGTACGCCTCAAATATGCAGGGGCCCAGGAGAGGGTGCTGTACTACCATCAGTGACCTGTAAGAGGGAGCTTCTTGGTCAGACAGAAATAAATCACAAAATGGTGAGTCTCCATACTTAATGCTTCATCTTTGTTTGTCTGTGGATTTGCTTGATTCAGGAGCTGCTCTTAATATTGAAAGAAGTTGGTTAAGACTTCATCCTGGTAAAGATAAGGTTTGTTTAATAGAATGGAGGGCAAGAGTAATAAGAGTCAAATATACATGAAAAATGTTGAAAAGCCCTGCAATTAATGACAAGTTACAAGAAAATGTATTTGTCAGCCTTTCTTTATGACAAAAAATATGACTTTCTTCTCTTTATGTGACTTTTTTGTCCCTACAAATTTGTCCCTATTAATTTCATACTACTTTCATGGTGAGGAATGGCTCCTGAATTCAAATGTACATGCACAACATTAGTTCAGAGTAGTGGACTTATCTGCAGGTTTACTCTGCAGCTAAACTGAAAGCGCAATCAGGTTCCCGATAGTGCTGACATATTTGTAAAGGTCACCAAAGATGTGTGAAATGTCAATTTGACAAGACAAAGCCATTCATCAATGAATGTAGCTCCAGGCGTCTTAACAATCAGGTCTAGACTTTTAATGTGGTTTAAATAAGTTTCAGCTATCTCTGCACTTTATCTGCTCTGATGTTCAACAAAGAAATTTCATTATGCACAGCAGTGGTTCAATTGCACCAAGTGTTCAACCTAACCAATCTGCCACGACCTTAAACTGACCTTTAAAAATCGAACAGATTTGGTTCCACAGAGAGTTTGTTTTTTTTTTTTTCTGGTAAAAAAAAAACAAAAAAACCTGTAAGTCAGTAATAATAATAATAATGATGATAAGACAAACAACAGAGAAAATACTATCAATCATTGTACTGTATAATTATGGGTCCAGTCCAATAGGAACAATAGGTTTTAGTCAAAGCCATCAGAGGCAATGAAACATGTCTTTGTGCCTTTGTTTACAGACGGGAGCACTGGTCTGTGCTGAAGTCAATCTAAAGTTTCCATGCATGTTAGATGACACCAGATACATAATGGTGATACACATTAAATGTGGACCACACTGGCCCCTTTTAAAGTAGTCTGAGTGATCTCTGTCTGCAGTTATTACTTTGTGTGACACTGTGTTTATGGACACATGTAAAACAGCCATATAAACCAAAATGATAGACTTTAAGTTTTTAATATGTGTGCTGGTGCCTTTTTTTTGTTGTTGTTTGTTTGTTTGTTTGTTTGTTTGTTTGTTTGTTTGTTTGTTTGTTTGTTTGTTTGTTTGTTTGTTTGTTTGTTTGTTTTTTGATAGATCTTTAGGTCTCTGATAGCAACCAAGCGGCAACCTTTGGTCTTTAGAAATAGAGCTGATGCAGAAGTACAAAAAACCATTGTTTCCCGTGTGTCCACTTGAGGCTGACTGCGAAAGTACTGAAAACTACATAATACGTAATAGATAATAAACATGTTTACAGCCTAGTTAAAAAAAACAGGTTTTGGTCCAAACAGCTCTCGCTTAAAATTCTACTGTGAAGTGCTTTGAAGCCATTTTGCAAAGGTATTCCACTAGACAACCAAAATATCTTTTATTCTGTCTTGATCTGCAAGTTGGAAAAGTTTTCAGGCACTTTAAGGCTGCCAGATTTGCAGCTTATTGACAACATTAAGAGGAGAAAAATGGAGAAAATAGAACTCTGTAAATTCTTTGATAATTTGGTCCAGTTCAGTTTCATTTTTTTGGTCCTTAACATGTATAATACCATGGTTGACAGCTCTGTCGATACATGCAGTTCAGTCTGCATAGATTTACAGTGTCAAGGAGAAACATATCAAACACTGACGCAGAGTCTTTTAATTTTCCAGAACTATTAGAACTATTATAACCAACACAAGATGCTTTTACAATGTAGACCGGACTGATATTTGTCATTTTGTTGGTCATTTATTTGTTTGTTTTCTGGATGAGACTGTAAGACGTCAATACTGTAGTAATGTGAGTTGATCCCCAGCATGCAGACTCTGGCTCCAGAAAGATCCAGCTAAAAGCATTTATTGATGTCAGTGAACACAAAGCCTGCTCACACATATCAAACGGGAGAGCAATCAGTAAGGAGTGAGACAGTTTTGAGTCTCTTTTAAGAACCACACATTATCTTTTACCTTTTCTTCTTCTTCTTCTTCTTCTTCTTCTTCTTCTTCTTCTTCTTCTTCTTCTTCTTCTTCTTCTTCTTCTTCTTCTTCTTCTCGGAATGAGTAAAAGCCAACAGCAACCCAACAGCGTCCAGTCATGTGCCTCCACCCATGTGGCTACATCTGTGTCCTTCATTTTTTTATGTACTTTGACACGTAGCTCCCCAAGGAAACCCAAAGCACACTGAGTCTTTCTCAGCTGACCTTGAGTCAGCCATAGGTGTGTACATCTGTTTCTCGAGCAGCTGGACTCAGATAAATGTTGATAGGAGGTCTATGTGGTGATACGGTCATAAAACAATGTGCCGACCTCTCACTTTAGGAACATAACTGGAAAGGACAGGACTGAGAAGCATCGGTGAGCAGTGAATATGTTTTACCCTCCAGCTGGGAAGTAATACAAACAATTTAAAACAAATGTCAGCAGTGATTCATTTTTAAGTCAAAAGTTGTGGCCCAAAAAACTAGCCTAATATATCAGCTTATTAGCTGAGAGCCAACAGTCAGGCTTGTGAAAGCCAGTCAGTCTTGAGTTTGATAGTAATCACACATATAGGAGAGAAACCATAAGCTGATTTAACAGTTAGCCCAGCAGCTGTTACCTTTCTGGTCACAGTAGGCTAGCGCACTATGTAGGTCCATTTCATATTTTGTTGAGCTGTGCACATGGAGGACAGAGCAGCATGGGAGTAAACAGAGAGAAACAGCTGCACTTCGATTGTTTAATTTATCATTGGCTGCTCAAGGGATGCTAATCTGTCAGCTACAGCTACAACCAATCCTAAAGCAGATGGAGCCTGGTTACAGAGATAAGGAAGCCCATTTTTTGGACAAACCTTTGTGCACCAACTTGGGACAACAAAATCAAAGCGCCACACTATTTCTACTTTTAGTCGTAGAAAAAGTATATCAACTTTGCCTTGCCAGCCCAATCAGCCAGCTCTGAGTCTGGAGCTGCTGCCAATCTAAGCATTAAGCACAGATATAGCCAACCAATCATAGTCATCTAAGATGACAACGCAGGAGCACTGCTTCAGCACAGTTGTAAACAACCAAGATGGCAGCCTCTGGCACTATAAGGTCATTTAAATCTGTTTTGGTTGTTTTTGCAAACATACCAGATGACATACTGAAAACTAGAAATTTCACTCTGGGGAAATCTTTAAGGATCACAGGGTCTTCTGCCAGGGTGTGTATGTTGTGCTGAGATTCTTCAGATATTTCAAATATTCAATACTAGTAGCATTGTGATATTACATACAAGGAGCTCACTGACAACAAACATTCCTTTTTCAATTATTTATTTATTGATTAAAAAAACGAGCCAGAGCAGTAGATGTTTAAAAAAAAACTCCAATGATTCCTCTCTTTTTGAGGGGCTTGTCTCATTGATTTCAGAGCAAAATTTTTCCACAGTTTTCCACAACTTATGTCGCAAAAAAGTTCTACACAATAGAGATTAGTAATAACACACCGCTCCTGATCAAAACACACATTTTGATATATAATTTGGCCTACAGCTCCTCATGCTGTAGGATTAGAAGAGAATTAAAATTTGGCTGGAAGAGGAATAAGAAAAATCCACAGTTTATCAACTGTGTCTTGGTGCATTTGCCCTGTGGTCCTAACAAGAACAAACAACAAGTGTTTCTAATGCTCCTCTGAAAAACAGATGGAGCTGGTTTCAGACCCATTCACCAAAGTGAATCACTCTGTCAATGCCAGGCTGGTATTGAATGTGTTAAATTAGTTACCTCTGTTGTTAACTTTACATGTTTACTTGTGCTTTCTATATTCTGTTTTGTTGTAAATAAAAAGGATCACATTCAATTCAAGATTTTTTGTCTTCACCCACAGACCCAGAAAATTCAACTATGTCATATACTTTTTAATGAAGATACTTTTTATTACCAAAATGTTAAAAAGCCTAATTACAACCAGTTAAAGTAATCAAAATGTTGACTAAGGAGGTATGAGTGATATCTTTTAGCTGCAGAGCAAAGCCCTGAGAATTTTAGACTGTTGTAAGCACTTAGTTTATTTTTTTGATGGAGTTTCTTTTTTTTTTTACAAATCGGTTTAATTATTTGATAGAGTTGACCTGGTCTGCAGTAGTTGATTGCCTAGTTCCCATGTCAGTTTCATTTCCCAATTTCTCATCAAATGGGCTGAGCAGACGAGGATACCAAAATACACTAACTGTTGACAAATGCCTCATGCAACCCCACTGAAAAAAAGTCAGTTTACAAAGCTCAAATGAACCGAGAGAAAACTGAATCTAGCATCGAGTCAAAACTATGAAAGAGATCTCAACCCTCTTTTTTCCTGAAGTCCTAAAGCTTTTTTGAATTCATGTTGCAGATTGCAGACTCACCTTAAAATGAGAGCCAGTTACACAACACACAAACAGCTCTAAACATGTTTACCGTGTTCATAAAGCTGTTGTATAACCTGGGAAGTAAAATCCCTTAAGGCAGTGGAGATGTTATCTTTTTGTTAAACCATATGGTAAGGAGATAAGGATGATAAGCTTGAGTTAAGGTGGACACACTCAGACATCTTGTTCTTCAGATGCTTGACAATCCAGACAGTTGAAGTAACATTGTAAAACTGGAAAATCATACTTTTCTATCATGCTTTGCTTTCAGGGCTGAAAAGTTCAGACTTTTCTCCTCCTCGCTTCAGCACAGTCAGAGGTTTAAGGTCCAAGGGGTTTGCCTAAGTCTCTGCACAGATGCTGTCTTTTCCAGCAGCAGTCACCTCTTTTTTAGCATGCAAAGCAGTTTGAGTACATTTCAGAGACTCTATTACCACACTGTTTGTTTGCAGATCTGACCTTACTGGAGCTTTGCTGTTGCAGCTCTTACGAAAGCGAACAGTGAACAGGCCATAGATGACAGGGTCCAGGCAGGTGTTGAATAGCCCAAAGATGAACAGGATGTGGGTAAGAGAGTGGGAGACTTTCCCCTCTATATCATCTGGGAAGAACCAGTACCATAAACCCAGTAGGTAGTATGGAGTCCAGCAGCCTATGAAGCAGATCACAATGACAATACTCATTTTTAGAGTCCTCATTCTGGCTTTGGGGATGTTGTTCTTTGAGCAGCGCAGATGTGGTTCATTTGATGACACTGGGGAAAGGAAGAAGAGTTGAGGAGGACATAGGCATGAAAAAATATCTTCACAGTTTTCCACCACAGACTTTATAAAAGAAATCAACAAGGCTGGTTTTATCATTCAGGTTTCTTCATAATCACCCATCTGTGTTAAATACATGTTTCTGATGCTCAAAACCCCTCAATAATGGTTATCAATTGTGAACAGCAAGGGTAACATCATCCCAAATCAATGAATGAGAAAAGTTCAGTCCACACTAAAAGTTAATCAGCCTACTGTTGACACTGTGGCAAAAATGATACTTTCAAATAGCATTAGAAGACACAGAGATCTCCTCGGAGCCTTTACCTTATTGCTTGTGAGCCCGGACCCCCAACCTCACAGGTAATGTCGCAAAAGCATTATAATAACTATTATTATTACTACTACTTCTAATTATTATTTTATCTTATTTTCTTTAGTGTTCAATTGATTATTCGTTTTTCTTTATTATTATTATTATTATTAGGGCCCGAGCGTAGCTGCTAAGCAGCTGCGAGAGCCCTATTATTCCCCAAGTGGTTTTTCTTTGTTTCTTTTTAGGGCCCGAGCCAGCTGCAGAGCAGCCGGGCGTAGGCCCTATTATTCCCCAAGTGGTTTTTCTTTGTTTCTTTCTTTAGGGCCCGAGCGTAGCTGCTAAGCAGCTGCGAGAGCCCTCTTGTTCCTGATGGATTCTTCTTTAGGGCCCGAGCCAGCTGCAGAGCAGCCGGGCGTAGGCCCTATTATTCCCCAAGAGGTTTTTCTTTGTTTCTTTCTTTAGGGCCCGAGCGTAGCTGCTAAGCAGCTGCGAGAGCCCTCTTGTTCCTGCATGTTTCCTTCTTTTTAGGGCCCGAGCCAGCTGCAGAGCAGCCGGGCGTAGGCCCTATTATTCCCCAAGTGGTTTTTCTTTGTTTCTTTCTTTCTTTCTTTCTTCTTTTTCCTCCCCTTTGAACTGGAAAATGGCCCACTTCCCACTGGCGAAAACTCATGAAATTTGGCAGGACGACCGGGCCTGGTGAAAAATTTGATATTCCGAAGTCGCCCAAACAAGAAAATGCAAAATGGCTCCATAGCGCCCCCTAAGGTGAAAATTCACACTATTGACTGTCACGCCTGTACGCTTTGTCAAAATGACACAAAAATTGACACACACATGTATCTCAATAAGATCTACAAAAAAGTCAGTGCGGGCGTATCTGTCAAATGTACGGTTAAAGGGTTATTGCGCATTTTTTGCCGATCCGCACACATTGGAATTTCGCTAACTCCTCCGAAGGCTTTCGTTCCACCGGCACCACATTTGCTCAGGCCAATCTACACCCCATGGCCATTAAAAGTTATTCAAATCATGACGCTGCACCCCACGGTTTAGGTTCTAGGGGGCGCCAAAGATAACCCTAAAATCCACATATTTAAAAGTCTTATAACTTTTTATTTTTGTCCTCACTGGCCTCCAAGTTTTCTAGGATGATGCAATGTCCAGCCATCAACACATTTGTGAAGGAATTTTTACTCCCCAAAAGAGCGCCCCCCCCATGGCAGGAGAAAAAAGTCCATTTTTTCTTGTCCCCTAAGGTGAAAATACACATTGTTGAGTGTCACGCCTGTACGCTTTGTCAAAATGACACAAAAATTTACACACACATGTATCTCAATAAGATCTACAAAAAAGTCCATGCGCGCGTATCTGTCAAATGTACGGTTAAAGGGTTATTCCGCATTTTTTGCCGATTCGCACACATTGGAATTTCGCTAACTTCTCCGAAGGCTTTCGTTCCACCGGCACCACATTTGCTCAGGCCAATCTACACCCCATGGCCATTAAAAGTTGTTCAAATCATGACGCTGCACCCCACGGTTTACGTTCTAGGGGGCGCCAAAGATAACCCAAAAATCCACATTTTTAAAAGTCTTATAACTTTTTATTTTTGTCCTCACTGGCCTCCAAGTTTTCTAGGATGATGCAATGTCCAGCCATCAACACATTTGTGAAGGAATTTTTACTCCCTAAAAGAGCGCCCCCCCATGGCAGGAGAAAAAAGTCCATTTTTTCTTGTCCCCTAAGGTGAAAATACACATTGTTGACTGTCACGCCTGTACGCTTTGGCAAAATGACACAAAAATTGATAATCATGTGTATCTCAATTAGATCTACGAAAAAGTCAAAGAGCGCGTATCTGTATAATGTACGGTAAAAGGGCTATTTTGCATTTTTTGCCGATTCGCACACATTGGAATTTCGCTAACTCCTCCTAAGGCTTTCGTCCCACTGACACCAAATTTGCTCAGGCCAATCTACACTCCATGGCCATTCAAAGTTGTAAAAATCATGACGCTGCACCCCACGGTTTACGTTTTAGGGGGCGCCAAAGATGACCCAAATATACATTACAGTAGACAAAGTAGTTTTGCCCACTGAGTGGCGCCAAAGGGACTTGTCTGTGGAGTCTGTGAGTCACTATTGGCCGTTTTTGACTACTTTAGATTTTACCTTTATATTTCCTCTTACAAAATTTTTACCTTGCCTTGCCTGGTATCATTTTTTTCAGCACAACCTCACCTGTGTCAATTTACAGTTATTTTATCATTTTGACATACTATATTTACACATTGGACCCAAATTCACACACAAAACATAAAATCCGAGTGGAAAAAAGTAACGTTTTTACTGTGAAAACAACAAATATGTGTGATGAACTGTTTTTAAAACTTAAACTTCAAATAAAAATTGTAAACTTCAAAACATATGCAAATTTTTAACAAAGAACATAGTAATTTACCTCTATTTACATCAAAATGCAGGCAATGGCCCAGGTGTTCTTTGTAAAATTATTTACAAAACACTGTATAGTCTCACAAATGTCACTTTTTATTTATGCCACTACAAAAAACATGATGTAAATGATGCATGATGTAAAACATGATGTAAAAAACTTGTGTAGATCCTCCTCTATGTTAGTCCATGTGTAATTTTTCCATAATTCTTTGTTTTTTGCAGCATTTTTGTTAGTGTAACTGCAGATTGTGCTGACAGTGTCTATGGCAAAAAAAAAAAAAAAAACTGAAAATGCCTCAACATGAACCCCTGGTGGTCTCTGAGGGTGAAACCTGCTAACTGCTGCAGCTCTGTCAGCTTCAGTCTCCCATGCAGAGCTCTGAGCGCATGTGTGGCTCTGCACCCTTAGCAGCGTTGCTAACTCCTCAGTAAGGAAAGCCTGCTTCATGTCAGAGTCTCTAAACTCCAGAAGAAGTCGATAAAAGTCACTTTCTTTCTAAAAAAAAAGTCGTTAGGGGGTCTGAAAAGTCATTGAATCTAACAACAAAGTCGCTAGGTTTGCAACTACGTGTCCCAGACTGCATCCCTGCTGAGAGTCCCTCCCTTCTCATATTGCAGGAAGAACGTAAGCGCCCGCCCCTTGTCAATCAGTCACCATATAATTTTGGATTGGTTGTTGTGGTGAAGTTTTCCACCAATAGGAGAGATGTTGTGGTGTGTTTTTTTTTCTTTGGCAAGCCTTTTCCGCCTGTAAGACCTGTCGCTAATGTCTGCATGCTATGTTTTCCTGTCTCATACAGCGCGATCGAGCGCCGAACGTGATCAAAATAAGCAGAAAACAAGTATCGCGGACATAATTTATCATAACTCTGGTTTTATTTGGCCTATCAACACAATTTAAAAACTGGTATATAGGTTGAGGTCCTCACTTTTGAGATAAGTTGAAACGGAGTCAACGAGGCTCCGTCTTGCAGCTACATCCGGTTAAATATGTCATGTGACTTGAACGCACACACACACACACACACACACACACACACACACAGACACACACACACACGCACACACACACACTCAGAGTCTGGTTTTTACCACCTGCAAAAACATGCTATTTACATATTTGACAAGAATGCAGAGGCTCCTTTTGCCCCTGAAAAAAATCAAATTTCAAACACAACTTGACTGGTCATTTCTCCAAAAGACAACCATGAAGCTCCATCCAAACCTGAAGCAGGCAGTTGGTGCATGTGTACAGTAACCTGAGGGGAGTGAGGTGACTGCTTCTGAGGAGAACATGAGCAGTGAAGATTCACCTTAGAGCTAGAACAGAGACGTGCACATGATTATACAGGGGCAGGGGCTCAAGTTTTTTCCAGTTGTTTATACAATATGGAAATTAATGTGAAATTAAAAAACAAAGTATTAATAGAAAGGTAATGACTGTCCTGAGTAGGTGACAGTGATATCCAATAGGCTAGGCACTCAAGAGGCTGGCTGTGGCAAGTGTAAGTGAAAGCAACACGCACTGGCAGGAAGAACAGCAAACGCCGATGAAGGAAAAGGGTCTTTGCAGTGATGGGCGTTACCAGAGAGGGCGATGGCCAGAGGACACAAATGGGACGGGGAGGCAGCGCTTTGGGGGGGGGGACGCGACACAGCTCGGGCCCGCCAGTGCCCCAACGGGGTCCTAGTGTTATTATTATTAGGGCCCGAGCGTAGCTGCTAAGCAGCTGCGAGAGCCCTATTATTCCCCAAGTGGTTTTTCTTTGTTTCTTTTTTCTTTTTCCTCCCCTTTGAACTGGAAAATGGCCCACTTCCCACTGGCGAAAACTCATGAAATTTGGCAGTACGACCGGGCCTGGTGAAAAATTTGATATTCCAAAGTCGCCCAAACAAGAAAATGCAAAATGGCTCCATAGCGCCCCCTAAGGTGAAAATTCACACTATTGACTGTCACGCCTGTACGCTTTGTCAAAATGACACAAAAATTGACACACACATGTATTTCAATAAGATCTACAAAAAAGTCAGTGCGGGCGTATCTGTCAAATGTACGGTTAAAGGGTTATTTCGCATTTTTTGCCGATCCGCTCACATTGGAATTTCGCTAACTCCTCCGAAGGCTTTCGTTCCACCGGCACCACATTTGCTCAGGCCAATCTACACCCCATGGCCATTAAAAGTTATTCAAATCATGACGCTGCACCCCACGGTTTAGGTTCTAGGGGGCGCCAAAGATAACCCTAAAATCCACATATTTAAAAGTCTTATAACTTTTTATTTTTGCCCTCACTGGCCTCCAAGTTATCTAGGATGATGCAATGTCCAGCCATCAACACATTTGTGAAGGAATTTTTACTCCCCAAAAGAGCGCCCCCCCATGGCAGGAGAAAAAAGTCCATTTTTTCTTGTCCCCTAAGGTGAAAATACACATTGTTGAGTGTCACGCCTGTACGCTTTGTCAAAATGACACAAAAATTGACACACACATGTATCTCAATAAGATCTACAAAAAAGTCCATGAGCGCGTATCTGTCAAATGTACGGTTAAAGGGTTATTTTGCATTTTTTGCCGATTCGCACACAT